GAGAGAGAGAGAGAGAGAGAGAGAGAGGGAGAGAGAAAGAGCAAGAAAGCACTTGTGGAACTTGCGGCAAATTGTAATATCGTCTGAGAAAGTCGCGCCTCTCGCAGTTGCTATTTTCGGAATCGCTGCCCTCTGAAATTTATGACTGGTCTGGCATTAAAATTCGCGTAAGTTGAAACTGCCATCTGAGGAAGGACTTAAAGAAGAAGAAGAAGAAGAAGAAAAAGAAGCGGGTGTTAGGATCAAGGAAAAGACTGATTGCAAAGTGTCACGCGATGGGCCGAAGACAAAGGCGTCGTATGGTACCGAAACAGGATCGCAGAATTTGCGCGTGCATATTCCTCTGCCAGTTCACCCTTGTCATCAGTTCAGTGGCCTTGATTTACCTCAGCGTGGCGATCTACACTCCATCGCACAGGTGAAGAATCATCGCAGGGTACCGTTACGATAGTCTGTTATCAGTCAATCAAGAAGCTCAGTTTGATTTTTAACTAACTTGAAGAAAGAGAGATTCGCAGTTTGTTCTGTAGGCGCCTTTACTCGCGTGTTTCTTCATAACTCGAGAATCTTTAGAGATATCGAGATGAAATTTTATGTATTATGCAGTTATGCAGTGTGTTATTTATATCTTAGATTAGGGGTGTCATTACTTAGATTCATAGAGTAGGGAGTGATACTACCCAGATTCGTTCAGATGATCTGGAAATTGGGTAATTCCATTCAAGATTGGAAAATAAGAAAAATCGGTTTATACAAGTTACTTTTTTCAGTAACAACTGAATGACAATTGAATGTTGTTTTTGTTTATTAGTAACCGTAACGGTGATGCATTTGTTAAGGAATAGTACAATCGTTACTTTGTTCGTCACTTTAATTGTAGATTCAGTGTTACTCTGCTAAAGTTCTTCTTACATATTTCTTGTCGCTTTAAGTTACGTGTCATTTTACATGTCTGAAGGCCGGTTTTTCAATAGCAGTTTGAACTTGGATTGAAGTTTAAATTCTATTCTAACAATGCGTTTGCTTTGTTTAAACAGAGTTTAAGTTGAAATCTAAGTTTAAACTATCATTGAAAAACCGGCCCTGAATATATTAATTTATAATTCAATATGTTTAAACGTGTTAATTAACGTAAAGTGGAAAGAAACGTGCAGAAAGAGCTTTAGTCAAATCTTATCTTTAGACGTGTTATCTTTAGACGTTCATTTCGCGTGTAAAAATAACACACTTAAATTTATAGAGTTTGCATATCGAGTATGTGTGTGTAAAATGGGTAACAGCAAATCCTGAAAAATACTTTGAAAGTTCGTAGAAAAAATAACAAAACTATAAAGATTCGTTGTTTGTTGAGTAATGATAACAGTAATAAGTTAATTTTTTAAAAAATAATGAATAATGATAACGAATCACTTTTTTAATGTGTAACCCGTAATAGGGGGAAGGAATTATTCTTTAAAAACGCGTTATGCTTTAAAAGTAACTCTTCTAACTCTTATTTCATTATTTTCTTAAAAATTTGAGAACATTTAGAGATACAAGACACGAAACTTTTACTTTTAACCAACTTCCAAAAGACAACTTTAGTAAATAACTAATAAACAAAAAATAAAAAACTTAAAAAAAAACAAATTATCTTTAAAAAACTCAAAAACCTTAAAAAGAATGAAATAATTTTGAATCGATATTCTTACACATTTTATTCTAATATTCTAAAGATATTAGAAGTTGATACGAAGAAGTTAGAGTAAATTAGCTAGGTAACTAACTATATAAATGTAGCGAGATAAATAATAAATGAAAAGTATGATTCAGTCAGATTTTCACGCCAACAGAATAGGATTGTAACCGTAAAAAGGTCATCCGTAATTTTAGGATAAGTTTTCGTAAACTCATTCTTATTCAATGGGAGCATTCTTTTATTAGAAAATGAATTTTCCTATTGCACAAAATAGAAAACTCACAAACTTATTACAAAATTGCGATCAAACTTTTTGCCTGCGATTGTACATAAGAATATTGATTCAAAATTATTTTACTTTTTAAGCCTTTTGAGGTTTTCGCTGGCGGTTTACTTTTTTTAAGTCTTTTATCTGTGTCTTCCATCTCGGTCCATGAATTTTTTTTCGCGAAGTTTCTGCATTAATCTCGATATTTTATATAACGAGAAATACTTTCAAAAAAAGGAAAGCAAGACACGTTACCAGGTTCTTATTTAAACTGTGATAGTATTATTAGAGGGTGAACCTTGCAAAATGACGTTCGCCGCTTGATTATGCGAGGTAAACGAAGGCGCGCTAATCACGTTAGCGCAATTAATTTCAGAGCTTTCCACGCCGGCATCGAACCAGAACCGGTGATGTGCCAAACAGTTAACTCTTCTATGGTGAACAATTGCGGGTGGACAAGTTGCGGCGAGTGGTGCTTAACCAAGACCAGTGGTTTGTGTAACCAGATTCACGCGACTGTCAGACGTAACGGTACCGACGTAGTTTTCGAAAATTGCACCAGGTTCAACACGATCGCGTGTCCTCAGGTGCGTACAGCCACGTCGCCAGCTAAAATTTTAATTCTAAAAGTTACTCGTGCACCAAGGTTAAAGCTATGAGGTATACCGAGCCGAAATTTGGATCTTTTTCTCGACTTCGAATACTCCACTTAACATCTACTTTGACACTCTGATGCTTATATGAATCTATTTGTATTCTATTGAACCTACTAACTTTGTCAAGGGATGCTCATAAGTGAAATTTTGTGGGTTTTTTGTTATTTCAATGTGGAAGTACTTCACTTTCAATGTGTATTAGATATACACGGATTCCTTAGTATAATGGATGTTATTAAGAAGGTTCAAGTCGAAAGCAGGGTAATAATTTTAACTGGGGATAAGTCTTTTGGTAAATTTCTCAATGACCGGAAAGTTTTGATTATAATCTTAATTAACCCCCCTAGGGAAATTCAATCTGACTGTCGCACGCAGATTAGAAACATTCACCGCACGTCACTGTTGCGTTGAAATCACAGGATATCGCGCGATATTGCAAAGAAGAATTTCCAAACAAATCTTCTCCCCGAGAAGGCAACAGTGAGTTTTGTTTGTATATTCGGCTGTTTGCCGTAATCTCTAAATATTGTCACTTGTCAAAGTACGAAAATTTCCTTCTTTTCTCTCTCTCTTTCCTTCTCTCAGAAGAGGCGCATACGTTCTCGTACATTTGCTCCATCGTGGATCTCCATCATTTTATGCCACGCCACATCTTGACTGCAATCGTAAGCTTAGTGTACACATGAGCAGACACACACACACACACACTCTCTCTCTCTCTCTCTCTCTCTCTCTCTCTCTCTCTCTCTCTCTCTCTGCGGGCCTCCATCTCGTGGGGATATTACAATTTTATTGAAGGTAGGCTCCAATTTCTTCTCCGTGCATCGACCTCGATATGCGCAAGAGGTTGCGCGTAAAAATTTAAATCACCACTCAAAACGTCCCCTCGAACAGCGTGCAACGATGCCCGCGATATTATTAGATGTCGCTTTATTATTAAAGAAATTTCTCGAATTCACTTCAAGCTTCCAAACGGCGGCTCGCTCTACACGTCGGAACTAGCTCTAAGAAAGATCAATTCCTTGTTCTTTAACCTTACCTTTAGTAGCATAGTTACTCCATTCTCAATGCATCATTAAAATATAACGTTGACATTATGCCGGTCTCCTTGATGAAATTATGCGAGCAAGTAAGAATGTACAAAGCAACTGCTTTATAATCCCAGGTGGCTTCAAAGTAAATATTACTCAAGCATCATTATGCATTCACAATTGAGACAAAAATAAAACAAATAAGCGCACGTTGTCGCGACACATAGGAGCGATACGTAATACAAATTATCGCGTGCAAAAATAATTTTTGTATTCTTCTGAGCGAGCGACAAGAAGCCGCGTTTCTACTTTCCATCTTCCACTTGAATTTTTCTAACCCTCCTTCTCTCGTATTTTCGTCTTCTCCTCCACGTGGCGGTCCATCAACCGAGGGACATCGATTATGGTCACACAATGCTTTTAGCCTACGAAGGAAAGACAGAGAGAGGGAGAACGAAAGGGAGAGCAAACTCCTCGCAATATCGACCAAGAGAACACGCTTGTAAAACGCACTGTGTGCGTATATCGTATGTGTCACTGCGTCGCAACGTTATTCACAAGAGAGAGTCCATAAAGGACTCTCTTGCCGCGATTTGCGCGGACGATATTACCTACTTTCGCCGCTGTTAAATGTAATTACTTGGCGAATTTGATCCGTTATGGAAGCGCGCTGCTAAAAGCAGCCGTCAGGGTCAGCAGAACGTGGAGGTGCGAGCGACACGAATTTTGGTCATCGTAACGTGATGCGTTGTCACGAACAATACGCCGGTTTTGCCAACAATGCTCTCAATAATGGAGAGTTTAACCGCAGTCGGCTATTACATTCCGTCTGACGAGAGATTTAATTACAATAAAATAGTGTCACATACACACACACACACACATATATACACACATGTGGACGTTAACTTCTTTTTCTTTTATGGAATATGATACGACTTCAAATCTCGCGAATGCAAGATATATTAAATTAATTTATTAACCCTCCGCGTACAATGCTAAATCTATGAGTCTTAAATGAATATTCCATCATTTATTAACTTCCATAAAAACTCCGAGAAGTGGCACTATCTACCTAGAAAACAGCTTTAATGTTTTCACAATGTACAGTTTGAAGTGCAATTTGATCATTAATTGCTTAGAAATAACCAAAAGCACACCTGAAATCTTTCATTACACCACGTAATTTTTTGATCACTTTTTAAATACTTACAGATATTAATTTTTACATGTTTTTTAAATTAATATGTTAATTTTAAGTTAATTTGTTAATGATACACTTAAGAATTTTTTTATTATTTGCTAAAAATTGGTAAGTTCTAGTCGAGTTCATGACGTGTGAGTGTCTGCTCTTGTAGAAAGAGCCAATCTATTCTAATATAACTATCGAGAAGATTGAAGTTCTTAGATTTGTATTTGAAAGAAAACACAGACCCATTTCTAACGTAACTATCGGCAAAAATGTAAGAACATAAGCTTGTGGAAATAATTGGTGCTTTAGAAATAGCGTCATAAAGTATCTTGCAAAAAGTTATTAAATATTAAAATTTTACAATGTCAATATTTTGTCAAAAGATTTCAGATATCTCAGTAAAATCCTATTGGTTTTATTTAAATATTTTAATTACCAGAAATTCCTCGATTTTATGAAGGAAAAGTTATTTTGCTCACTTCACAAGAAATCTCCCTCTATTTATGTAAAAAAAAACGCAAATCTGTTTACAGAGTTTGATTTTGTCGCGTTGGTATCTTATAGCTGTGGCTCTTCTGTATCTCTGGAAAAAATGTATCTGAAAATATTGATTTCCAATAAAGTTATGGCGGTTCAAAATTGCCCAGGTCCGGCCAGATTGTACTATACGCTCAGATTGTACACTAGATAGTATTATACGTTCTAGAAATATGATTGTGCGTGTGGAGGGTTAAGTGTAAAAATCAAATCACATCGAGTGGCTACACTTGTTTTCTCGTAACTCGAACGTGGTTAGACTGCGGATAGCGATTTTACCATTGATTCGCTCCTAATTCGACCTATTCGACCCGGAAAAAGTTCATTGGCGCTCACGAATGCTGAGAAGAATTATTGCAAAAGGCAGCGGCTAGAAACGGCCGGTATCCGTGATCCCAATTTAACGTCAGGCGAGCCACTTGCATACGGGTAACATACGAGTTATTCTCGAGGGAGTGTCCCGCAAACACATGAATATTTAGACGCATGGCGTCACTGTGGGCGTCCGGCCGCTAATGTCTCGCCGGCGAGGTCGAAACTTCCCGAATGTAGTTATTTAATTAATGATGTTGACGGAATGAAGAGTATAACGAGATATATCTGTGTGTGGTCGAGGTCTTTATGGCCCTATCGATAATGCCGGGCATGCCTCTGTAAACAGCAAAGTGGTAATTTCCTTAATTACACGGCGCGCTATCTTCGCAGAGTGTTCCTTGAACACTTCTATTAAAACAGTAATTTCTCCGAATTGCACGTATATAAACTGGAGGAGCTAAAGAGGGAAAGTCAATATTAATTAACCTTTCTCTGGTGGTTGCGCAACAGAATAACAAAGTTAACAAGTTATGTAAAAAAAGTGTTAATAATAAAAAAAAAGACAAAACACACTCAGACTAATTGTATACCGTAATACCGTGGAAGAATTTCGATCAGCCGCTTTGACCAAGATCAATTTAACGCAGTTACCACCTCGGTCGAAGGAGGTCCAAGCAAAACATTACATTTGACAAACGAGATTAATAACAAATTTTTTTAAAAAACCTACTGATAAAACCTAACTAATAAACCAAACTTAACTGATAAAACATTTTAAACAAATTTAAAGAAACGAATCGAGCTTCAAGATCGGTTTTGATATTGTATATCCAGATAGCACAGAGAATTCAAAAAGAATTCAAAAAGAATTTAGTCGTATATTTTCAGATGTAAAAAGAATTCTTCAGAGTTTAGTTCAGTGAAAAGAATTCTTTTTGTACCTAAAAATGAACTCAGAATTGGTGACGTACGACTGAATTCTTTTATAATTCTTTGTGCTATCTGGGTAACTTACATCTACCAGGAGCTCGCGTTAATTCTCTAATTAAGAGCGAAGGGTTCAGTAAGGGAAATTTAAAGCGGTGAACGCGTTGGCAGGTGAACATGGGGAGCATGAAGAAGTACAACTGCAACAACGGCAGTGAGTGCAGCATGTTGTCGGGCGTGTTCAACTGCAGCAAAGGCCATTGCGCCAACATGAGCGAGCTGATGCTCTGCCACCACAAGGCCGACGGTATCATCGTTGACAGCGAGAAGGATAATATGAAACTGAACGGCTATTTCAGCTGTCAGAATTCTCGATGCACGAAAATCAAGAGCGCCTTCACCTGCGATCGATACTGCCCGAATATCACCACCAACGAGATCAACGTGTACCTCATGCAGGACGACAACGTCATCTCCGCCAGGTGCTCCCGCGGGATGGCCTGGAACAGAGCGAACGGCAGCTTGCCCGGTACAAGGCTTGACGAGCCCGTCAAGATCTGGGAGGGTCAGAACAGCAGCATCATCGCAAGCTGTTACACCGTCACGAAGGATGACGACGTCATCAGGTAATAGCGAATGGTAATACAGTAAAATTTTGTTATGTCGAATTACCTATTCGTCGAGTTGCACTTATTGGAAATTCCGTTATGCCAGAATCTTCCGCGTAGTTGCAGTAATATAAAGATAACACAATAAAATCGTATTATAAAGATAACACAATAAAATCGTAACGTAACAATGATTCTTTCATAAATGGTGGAATTTAGGAGATTTTGAGGTTAGCTTAAATTTTTTAATGGCATCATATGGTTTTTCCGATACAAATCATCTGAATATTCTATAAAATAAATGGAATTAAATTGTCGAAGAGGTGAGTTTCCGAAACATTTTATCCTAATGCTTTTCAGATATGAAATGTTTCGTAAAATATTTATTTTTCAATAACTTCACTTTAATATTTTTGTATGCATAATGACAAATAAAATCGATTATTGTAAAAAAAACAGAAAAATTTAAACAAAATTACGTTATGTTTTAGTAAGATTGTAGAAAAATTAATATTTTACAAAATATTTCATATTTTATACTGAAAAGTATCAGGATAAAATGTAAAATATCCCAGGAAATATTCATTATTCAGTGATTTTATTCCAATATTTGTATACGCAAAACGACTCGAGAAATCAATTTATGTTAAAAAAAATTCATATGACTACATTTAAATAATTCAAATTGACCTTCAAAAACTTTTAGAGCATCTACAAAGTCAAACTAATACATTATATGTCTTCCTTAAAACTCTAAAACTTATCTCAAACATTTTTGTTAATAACGCGTAGTTCCGAAGTTATTTGAATATTCCATATAAAACGGGACACCGTGTATATATAATTATACTGTAATACAGTTATAAACTATATAAACTATATAAACTTTATACTAATATTTTTCCAGTACTTATTTTTCATATGTTAATTTTTTTCAAATAATATATGTTAAAAATAAGAAACTAAGACCGCCAGGATTTACAATCCAACTGAATGATCAATGATCATTAAAAGCTTATGCGCGGTTATTGTTGCTTAAAACGTAGGTTACATTTGATGTAAATCGACTAAATAATTTGGCGGCCAAATGTTTTGGTTTTTACTTCAGCTCTTTATCAATGGCAATCATATCGTCATATAAGTTATCTCGATGGTTTAAACGCTCGTATAAAATCGAATCACACGAGATCGCGGCTTAACAGATCATAAGCACACGCTGCACGAAATCAGATCAGACAGGAAAATAAATAAAAGAGAAACACGGAGGTAGAACACGTTCTATCGTTGCCTACGTGTATCAAATATTGAGTTTTCAAGAGTTTTACGTTGCCATTAACGAAAGGTTTCCTATCAAATACGTTGTTGTTGACGCCTAACTGCGTGTATCTGTCGAATCGAGCTATCGGAGCTATCTTGGATGTGGAAAATGAAAGGAGACTCAACGGGGTACGAGAATTCAATTTTGAGGGTTAAATTGTCGCTGATAGATAGGAGGATTCGTCGAATGATTGAAGGGAGGAAACACTCTTGTCTCTTCTATCAAAAAGAATCATAGTGTCGTTATAGGTATTGATCAATCAATAAGACTGGCGGAACCTTGACATTATTTGTCCGCGCGGAGCAAAGATGAAATCACAGGGTGAATTCTGTTAGTTTTCTCTCGAATCACGTTATCGTGTACATTTCCAAGTATCTGGTTTATCCACGTATATATCACACGAAAATAACCTAATACATATTTACGAGAAGATTACGTTATTCTAAAAGATATAACCCCCTTTCCCCTTTCCACATATAACAGTCGTCTTCGACTGTTATATCGCTTAAGAAATTGAAATTTTATCGAGCTGTGGAAAAGAATGAAGGCGACCAAGCATGGGGACGAACAAGAAGAAGACACAAATATTAGGGTGAATCACAGATACAGTCGCGGAATCAATGGTTGCTATGGAAATACCCTGTAGGATTACCTACAAGAAAATGTGTGTATCGTGAGAGAACACCTCCTCCTTACATCGAGAACGTCGAGGAGTAAGCCGGCTCAGATAAAATCCTCCAAATTGCAATTAATTGCAACTCACGCTTAAGAACCATAATCTATCCTCTTTAATCTAAAACGTCGCGAGTTTCTTCGTAAAGAAAACATTCATAAATTGCATTATTAGATAGATGCGCATGAAAGACAAAGGATTATCCTTGTAAGTTTCATGTTCATTATTATATTTTCATACCGTTATTCTCGTTATTTTCATCGTAATGAAACCCGTAAATTATCGATTTGCAATGAGAACACGCACCTTTACATCGACTCGTATGCTTCTGTTTGCATTCGCAGCACAGAGGATTGCGTGAATGGCAGCTTGGTGAACGATATCCCGATTCCGCAACCTTTCATCAACTTCACGAGCTTCCTGAAAATCTACGAGAGGAGTCTGCAGTATCCGCTGGACCCTACGAACGCGTTCGTCCCTGCACAGCAGTCGTTGACGATCTACAACAGCTCGCGACTCTATATTAATCTCGAGCGCTGCGTTAACACCTTGAGAGGCGAGTGCAAGCAATTTCAGCTCACCCACGGGCGCGATGGTGACAATCAGACCGCGCAGAGCAGGTATCCGTGCTATTATAACAAGGTAAGGGGCTTTTCCCACTGAGAAGTTTGTCGAATGCGTGAGAATTTGTCTATTGTAGCATCCTGAAGTTTCCTTTTAGTCTTTATATTATATTTTTTCTCTAAACTATTTAAATAAAAATTATATAAAGTGTCTGATGACGGTAATTGTTCGGTGCAAAAAGATATTCCTTCTTGAAAATTAAAAATTTGTTTAATATAATGCTATCTTCTGCTTTGTGTCGAAGAATACCGATATTTTTTATATTTTATGCAATTGCATTAACACTAAAAAATTGTTTGCGTACGATAACCTGCTTTGCATGTCCGAAAGAGTCTGTCTTTCTTTCTCTCTCTCTTTCTTTTTCTCTCTCTCTTTTTCTCTCTCTCTTTTTCTCTCTCTCTTTCTCTGTCTCTCTGTCTCTTTCTCTCTCATTTTAAGTCTTTGCAATTCTAATTCTTCCTCTCTGCTCCTTATCATCATATCAATGGTAATTTCTGAACATACTAAGAACATAATTTGCAAAATATAGATATTTTATGTATTACATGCAAATTATAATTTTCATAATTTTTCTAAACTCATAATTTCTTACTACAAAATACATCATAATTATTACTTGCTTATTTAATTAATATGTAGTAGAAATATTATATTGCAATAGCAATAGCAATAGCAAAAATTATGTTAAAATTATATTCCTTTTTAATAATGTTTTTTGTAAAGTTGAACTATATTGAAATTGTGGTATAAATTACTATTGAAATAGTAAATTTAACAATTTATCTGTCATATGATATAAAAAAACATTCAAGTAGTTATAATAATTTTGTAATAAAAGTCAAACATGCATAACATTTTTAAACTAACTAATATATAGTAATTTCTGTTAATCTTATATAATCAAAGATTAAAATAAATTTTATTGTAATTTTTACTACGATATCTTTTCCTTATACAAAAAGACTGATGAATAAACAAAGAATAAAATATAAACTTAATTGGGATTAAAAACTAAAATGTCAAATAATAATTTATATACTGTTCTTATAATACTGATAATTAAAAAAAAACCAAATAGTTCTCTTGAGCATTTAAAATAAATCATAAATTAATTCATGACAGTATCACAATATCACATCAAAATGACTCCATCGGACATTCTATTAATTTTCTTACTGTTGTAAGGATACACATGTCCTAGAAAAATAGAAAATCTATTGTTAGCTCAATTAAGGTTAATTGTTACTAATATTGCCGTTTGAACAATAGCAAATTTTCATAATTTTCATAAATAAATGAATAAGTTTTTTTGAATAAATAACTATTATAAGAACTGAAGTACTCTTAATTATGTACTTATTAAGTTGCACTTATTAAATTATATTTATTAATTACACTTAGTAAAAAAATATATTCAGATTTAAAATGAAAGGGTTAAAATTGAGAAAATTCCTAGAGACATTAAAAAACGTCAACAATCTATCTCTCGCGTAATTATCATTCATATGCACACATATTGTTCAGAACAATTCATTCTTCGTGGTGGCGCGCTTCGACCTGAAAAAGACGAAGACGGAGCTGCTGATCGCGGTGATCGTACCATCCGCGCTCTTCCTCATCAGCTTGGTCAGCCTAATCATCATTAGTCAATCAGTGCGAGTGGGAGACGACACGAGGATGCGATGCAGGTATTGCGACGGCAAGCAGGAGGTCGAGGGTGAAGACGAGGGACTCGTGGAGGCGACGTCGTCCGCCACTCAGAGTCAAACCAACGAGAACGAGATACGAAGTATGGCCCTTTAGCAGTATAAACCGCTCGGGATAGGCGCCGCACTCGGTTACGAGAGATTGCCATTGATTGACATGGACGACGCCGAGGATTCTTTCTAGGAAGAGACGATCTCTGGGTTATCGGAGTGTCGTCGACGTATGGACACGCATGGTGTACTTCATCCATCGCGATTGACCCGCATTTCCGGACGAACGGTTCGGAAAATCACCCCGAGGAAACGAGACGAACACTCCCCACCAGTGGCACCCGTCCGAGTAGCGCGTATCGGTGAAGTCGAGTTCGCAGACGGACTTGAACGTCGTCTTCCGGGATGAAGTGTACTTGTAACTCTTCTCTTCTCGCTTATAATACACCCCGTCGTCGTGAGGTGCAACGATACTACGAGAACACCGCGCACGCGACGAGATTGAATTCATCGAGTAGTGATCTCTGCCAGTGAAACTCTCATCGAAAGTCGAACCCGTTTAGGGTCCAAGTTAGTTGCGAGTCTTTCTATCGTGTACACCAAACTTTATGAATGCAATCCTACTCTTAGTTATTCTAACATTCATGACGGCACTTCAAATTTTCGGTCAGGCGCAATCATATATAAAATGTTCATGTTGTAACTGTTGGGTATTCTAGGAATTGCTGATGTCTCGAATAATCAACAATAACGATGCAAGTTGTTTAAAAAGTATGTGGTCTAATACAGAGATAACGCGAATTTAGCCAAATCTCTATCGTATGTCAGGGTCATCTTTTATTAGATTAAATACGATAGTGTAGAGCGATCTATCGATTAGACTTTGTTTGACAGTGCATCCAAGTGAACTTTGCGAGCGATGGGTTTTGCATTAGATCACATCGACAAAGACTGAACCAAACAGTTTCATTGTTTCTTGCAACTTTTGGCATAATTTCACTGCAATTAGAAAGATTTTTAGCACTTATGACTATCGATAAAACCTGTCTAACATTCCAAAACAAAGGAACAATTAAAACAATGAACGCACAGAGATACTCGAGGCGCTCATTTGTCAAACAAAGACTAATCGATAGGTCACTCTATACTAACTCTATACTTAATCTAATAAAGAATGACTCTGAAATACGGTAATAAGGATTTAGCCAAATTCGCGCTATCTCTATATTAGATCATGTGCTTTTTAAACGAACCATGTAAATCACTTTATATAGTAATTCAGTTAGTGACGATTGTGTCACAATTATTTAATTATTTGTATTATAGTTTTATGATTTTTTTACTGAGAATTAAAGGAACAATTCAGAAATGCTAAATTTCCTTATAAAAAGTTCTTTAGTAATCTCTAGAGTGGTATGGGAGTTCACCATTAGCTATTTTAACATCTTTAATCCTCCATTGCCCTTGTATGAGATAAACGCTTAATTGAAATTTTATTTCCTAATTATATAGGTTTTGTTTTAATAGTTGGCTTTGAAACTTTCTCACTTTTCATTTACAACCTCTTAGATTATATGATTAGATTGTATGATCGTTTTCTTAATTTCGTTAGCATTTTATTAATAGATATTAACTTTCCATTGCTTTCGTGTATGAGCGTTCAGTTAAAATATTATTTTCTAATTATATAAAAGTAGCTACATAGAGAGAGTTGACTTTGAAACTTTCTCACTTTTCATTTACAATCTTTTAGATTATATTTGTATGGTTGTTTTCTGGTTTGTTAATATAACTTTTATTGATAGACTCTAGAAGTGTCAGCGCGCGCTCATAGCGAGAGTAAAATGAGGTTAATGTGACTCGTGCTGTTACCAAATTTAAGCTTTACTCTGATGGATCGATAATAAATCAATATTTTAACACATCTATTCGTTTTTATGAAGCTGTATTAATGTAATTATAATTAAATTTTCACTTAAATTTAATTAATAACAGGCATGGCACTTTACTCATGCAAGAGTATTAACGTTCATCAGCCGAACGAGGACAGTGGAAGATTAAAACTGCGCAATGTATGCAGTTATACATCTGATGAAATTTAAGATTCTGTGAATAAGCAAATCGACTATCTTTTGTCACTTTTATATCATATCGATTTCGCTATATTAGATTTAGCATTTCTGAAATGTCTCATTTTGAAGTGTTTCTTTAATTTTCAGTGAAAAACAATTATACAACTGAACTATAATACAAGTAATTAAATAATTAGAACAAAATCGTTAATAATCATCGTATTTAGTGGCCCAAAAACGTAAGATTACATGTACAACTTACGTTATACTTTTTAGGCAGAAATCTGTCCATTTTACTCATCGTTCTTGCAAATGTCACTATGCTAAGTAATGGGATTGTGTTTACGAAATTCGGTATACCAGCCGAATATGAGAATCGATATTTCTAAACCGATATTCTCACTGTTGCCTTTGATGTATCGCTACCACGTTTGTTTGCGCGTGAGAACGAATGAATGATCGATCACACCGGTATCAATCGTTAATGCGGCACAGCGTTAAGAAATTTTGCCTCCAGATTAACGTTAAGGGAACTTTCGATAGGATGTATACGTTAACGAAGTATGTAATAGCTCGATTAATGCCGCCGTGTTCTAATGAAAATAGCGTTTACACACCGGATAACGATCAAGTGGCGGCAAACAATTGTTCTCGTCCAATATACGCGTGCATCGCATACGTACGAGAGATCTTTCATCGACGAAAATAGAGCGATATAATAGAGATATAAACGGACAGATGAGTGCCGAAGGATCCGTTACGAAATATTTCGTGAAGTTTTTTCTACGATAGTATCCGCGCGAAACATACAAACACACGAGAAGAAGAGAGAAAAACGATGGACATGCATAATCTCGAGAAAAAGTATCGAAATTCTAACACTCACATTAATAGTCGTTACTTCATTAATTCACATCTCATTATAGTCTCTTAATAGTCATCTTCTCAAGTTGAATTTGTAGACCCATAGTAGTCATTACTTGAAACTTACTTCATGTGAGATACTTATATTTGAATTTAGAGTTAGAGATAAATTTTTCAGTTGAATCACAATTACAAATGTGATGTCGCATATATTATATAATTCGAATAAAAATCTTATACTAATTCTAAATTTAGATCTATTTCACATGAAAGAAAAAACAAATTTCAAGCAATGTCTTTTAATATGAGCCTTACACCAGTATTCAAAGATGTAGCTTGAGAAATAAGCACTCCTTATTGGCTAAATTGCATAGACTTTCCTTAACCAAACAAATAGCTTGGATATCTTATCTTAAAAGAAGTCGCGAGTTTCCTTGAGGCGGCGATAGCAACCTTATTAGTTGAAAATGTGATAATATAAGTGTCTTAATCTTGTACGTGCTGTAGAGTACTGCTACTGACTATTGCATTGTACTGTGTAATGAAGATGGATAACAAAGGAGAACGAATAAATAAAGGATTCCAACGATGGATTTGAAAGTGAAAAGCGAAAAATAATATTCGATGGCGTTTACCAAAAAGATAAATTGAGTTTTACAAAAATGAACTTTTTAGAAAACAATAGGTTTAATAAAGAATGAGATTGGTATTCTATTACCGTTGGTAAATGAACAATTACAGTAAAATGATAATCGTGGACTACCAATTTCTCCATTAATGTAAGCATTTCTCCATTTCCAAACTTCAGTCTTATTTCTCAAATCTATTGCTCCTATTCCTTTATTTTCTATAGTTTTTTCTTCTGATATTAATTGTATAAAAAGTATCCACTCCATTTCTGTTTAATGATTGCTTTTAGATTCACAGTCTATAATTGTACGTGTATATCAACAATTACACTTGTATAGTTTTGTTAAAAAAATGTTATGAAAGACAATGAAAGGTCAAATTCAGTTGAAATAAAAAATTAGGTTATACATATTATAAAATTAGGTTATAAAATTAGGTTATACATATTCGCACAAACTTTACTGCACAATGGCATAATTCAAGTTTTTCGTAAATTACTAAAAGTTCACAAGCTCCTACTAGAAGGAAACCTTAAGATCTTATTATGAAATGTCTTGATAAAATAAAGTATCTTCATTGGAGACTTCCTCAGTCCTTAAGATAAGAATCATCTATGGATACTGGTATTAGAGATAAATGAAATCTTTTCAGTTGAATCGTGATTACAGAGACACATTAATATCGCATATATCATATAATTCAACTGAACAGTTTGAATATAATTCTGAATATGAAAATCTGAGTATCTCACATAAGACACATTTCAACGACGTCCCAAAAACTGAGTACAGAGTACAATTGTCAACAACTTGTTGTACAATTTTGCGGGGCAGCTTCATGCTTTCAATGTTTCGAGAGAACTCTCCCTCACAGTTCTCGGGATTGTAACTTTTCACAATGACGCGTTGACCCACTTCTCAAATTATGGGATTAAACATGTCCACCGTAAAAAACGGACAAGTTTTCTTCGATGTACAAAGTAGATAGTAGAAGGACTCAGCGTTCTCGTACAATATTCGATCAGCAACGAACATATGTTTATATTTTTTCTACATCCATCCACACGTACCGCGCTCCAACGCGACACTATTGGGTACGCGAACGATATTGCAATCAATTTACGAGCGTGCGCGCATTTCTGATATATCGCCTGGTAGGAACATCCCTGACGTGATCTCCCATTTCTGATACGCGTACTCGAGCGCTACGACTGCCTATACGTAAATTACTTGTACAGTACGTTGTATACCGCGTATTGCGATATGTAAGAATAAATATGTACAACACGCTTTCCCAGTGAAACATTTACATCCGCGGTACAATCGATAGCGCCTCGATTCTCGTGCTAGTTTTCGCGTTGATGTGTGTATCCGATCAAAAACATGATCTTGTCATACGATAAGCACTCGAGGCGACAAAATCAACGAGCGCGCACTGTTGCGTTAATTATAAATGCAGATTTCGACGATGAGTCATTGGAGAGGCGCGATTCCGCGAAATTGTTCCCGGCTTTGCGTTATTTGTTGCAACACGCATTTCTATCTCCGATATTTTACTGAAAGTAAAATGAGTAACTCTTTCGGAATAAATAATTAATAAATTACGGTTCGATCGTGATTTGATTTACATGCAAAACATGAGATATTCATATTCTTCTAGAAAGAAAAGGATTTATTTATTGACTGTGGAGAGAAACGCATACATATATATTTTTTGTATAATATTTAGCCGAGGTTACTAAAAGGACTTTAATGCGTATAAGTACTCACGCATTCAACACAAGGCTATTAATAGACTTTGATTAGGCAATAAGTAAATATAATATCACGCGCAAGCAAACACACGTACACGCAAGCCGACTAGCTAGAAATAAACGGGAAACAAGGAACAAAGACTTTTCTAACATCACTGTGCTCTATGTGCCTTCTTCCGCTTTCGATGGAGCCAATAAGGTGTAACTACGAGTATAAATACTTACGAGTGCTATAATCAGAGGTAAGTTCGCAAGGTATCTCTTTCACTCTTAGAAACGATCGCTGTAGTTATCTGTCATCGATAAAAATATAGCGACTTTCCGACACGGACGTGCCGAAATCCATGCTCGATCTCACGTGTGTTTACGTTTTGTACGTGAGAAAATCGCGACACGAGAGAAGCCCAATCGATACCAAGTATTTATATAAATATCACACACATTTGTACACTGAGAGAAAAAAATGATTGGTCTAACTAAAATTATAGTTCTTTTTTATCCCAATCATATTTTTTGTAGCAAAATAGTAATATCGTAATATGCGTATAAGGTTATTACCATAAACATTATAGTAGAATTCAATAAGAAATTAGTTTTCTTGACCATAATTTATAGTAATTGTTCCTCTGTGTAATTATATATACTTATAAATATCAAACATTTTGTCTCAGTGTACAACTCATGAAACTTATTTATTTGGAATTGATGAAGCGACTAGATGTGTGTGTGCAACTGAAGTAATCAACGAAAGTATTCCCAAACCAATTGTTAACGAAGACAATGATTACGAGGGAACAATGTAGTGATCAGTTGTCAGTCGAACGAATATACAAACACGTGACGAGAGATTGTATATGTGATCGATTAAATGCTTACTTTTAGCAAAAGCGAGAGTGGGAAAAGGGAGAATTAAAATTCTCTTTATGTCTGTGAAATTACGGCGAACAATGTAGAATACACATAAATTCCGTGGTATGACTTTATGTCGAACATATTTGTAACGCGATATGCATGTGTGTGTATATGCGAATTGTATAACATTATCTCTCTCTTTTTTTTTAATAAAATTTCTCCATATATAAATTGCTGAAATTTATCCTCTTTCATTGCACATATTCTAATTATCTCCCATTACATTGAGAGAAAAAATACTTAAAGATTAGTAAATATTTATTTGGTATGGCTAACAATATATTTACTTAAGTCTAAGTTCTCTTATTTAAATAGAATAAATAATTTGGTTTGTGAAAAATTAAGCTTTTATAAGATTTTAAGGAAATGTGCATATTCTTATTTTAAAAATATTTTATATTAGTACAAGTTTAACAAATAGTACAAATATAAAAATTAGTACATCTAATTGTACTAATTGTACAACTAATTGTACAGAATAATTAATACAAATATAAAAATATTTTATATTAGTTATTATATTTTATATTATATTAATACAAAAATATGTCAAAAAATGCCTACCCAATATAAAAATATTTACTATTTCTTAGATTGTTTTTCTCTTAATATATAAGTATATAAGTGAAAACTATTGCCGCAAGCCGTTTGCAAATCATTCGATACGATTCACGCAACTGGAAGATATGAAAAGCGAGATATTGGACTAGAAGATATGAAAAACAGGATATTGGAAAAATTTTTGAATTAATTTTCTCTGTAATGAAATAATAAAAACGCGAATGAGTATGCATCGAATCGAGACAAGCTTTTTATCTCGTGAAAAATCCTCCTCCTTTCCCTATGATGGAAGTACGACGCGCGCATTGTAGGGCCATAATAAAATAATACCGCCGTACTTTGCGTGTCACGAGGCACTTCGTGCCGAGGGCATCTTTCTCGAAGGCTCTGCGCTAGTACGAAATGCTTCTCATATTTACGGCCGGCTTATAGTACCACCCATGCAAATTAATCTACCGCAAAGAACGTTCCTCGACCTTGACGAAAGGAATACTCTGCATAAATCGTGCGAAATTAGCGTTCAGTGAAGAGTTTTGTCTCGAAAACACTGAATTATCTCCGAAGAATTCTTAAGGCTTTATGTGTAACGCTTTTTGTGAAAGTAAAAATTATCACGCGCACGTTTAGGTTACTATTATTATTTTTTTATACAATTATATATATATATATATATATATATATATATATATATATATATATATATATATATATATATATATATATATATATATATATATATATATATATATATATATATATATATATATATATATATATATATATATATATATATATATATATATATATATATATATATATATATATATATATATATATATATATATCATATAAGTAATAACAAAAAAGGAAAATTAACCACTTTCAAACATCTCAAAAGCCTTAACAAATATGAAACAATTTTGTATATTTATACAATTAAAATATTCCTACAACTTTATTTTAATGATTTCATATTTCAAGGCTTCTGAGGTTTTTGAAAGTAATCCATTTTTTAAAGTTTTTCATTTTATATTTTCTAATTATTTACTAACATTTTGATTTTGGAATCAAATAAGAAAAGTTTTCTTAAAGTTGGTTAAAAATTAAAGTTTTATCTTGTATTTCAAGATGTTTTTGGATTTTTGTCAAGGCATGAAATGAAATTAAAATTAATTTCCAAATCACCTACAACAAACGAGGGAATGATATTAATCTACCAATCATATAGATAATATATTGAATAAGTTATTATATAAAAAGCTTCATCTCAATATCTCTAAAGACTGATCTATAATATGCTCTTTGTTTCCTGCTTCTTTTTCTTTATCTCTTTCTGACTTAAACCTTAAGCTTTAAACCAGAAAAAAGTAGAAGACAAGAAACAGAACGCAAAGAGCATATTTTAGATCAGGCTTAAAAGTTCTTAAGTCAATGAAGAAACATACAAATAATCAAATATACATACAAGAAAAGTTAAATATTTCCTTTTTTTGAAGTCGGTTATAAAACTATGTAATTTACCTAAATAATCTCGTCCAGCTCTTTTCTCAAACAATTTAATAGAACCTAACAAAATTAATAAAATTAATCGGAATCGTCCGAGAAAGAGAAAGAAAGAGAGAGGAAGAGAAGGGGAGAGAGAGAGAGAGAGAGAGAGAGAGAGAGAGAG